TTTAGTTTCCATCTTTGTCACCAAATATGTTATTGTGTTTCACTTTACCAGCTCCAACAGTCTAATTCTCCTCACTGCATTCTACATAGATACAGTCTACATCCAGAAGGTACGATTGGGTAATGCATACAGTGAGCATAGCTAGGTGTCAGGTCCTCATATATATGTTTTCTTCAGACTCTCCTAGAACGTCTTGGATGTTGTAACTTCTTACAGTCAACACAACACTAAAATGCTGGTTTTGGGTGTTAATATGGATTACTAGACGTCATACCTCACCCGCAAAATGTACTATATTATGGCAAATCATCTTTAACATATAAATTAATTTATCAAGACTAACACTGAACTAATGGTTTGAAGCCTATTGACTACTAGGAAATAATTTAAGGTACTCAAAAGTCCACTTTGCCAGGTGTAATGTTGAACTCCAGTCAGATTAAAAAAAACAAACAAAAACAATAAATGTGATTATATACAGTACTCTTATTAAACAGTTATTCCACGTTTTTAAATGCAATTGGTGTAAGTAACTGAATCTGATTTATCAGCCTCTTGTAATCTCCTGTTAGTCAAACAGGAGAGAGAGGAGTAGCACAAGGAGCTAATAGGGGCCAATGAGCCAACAAGTGCAGAGTGAGCAGATGCATGAGCTCATCAGTCTGCTGCTTTTTATGTATTACCCAATCACGTGATGAGGGCAGGAAGGCAACCTATCTGTATTAATAATAACAGTTCCGAAAAGTAAGGTCACCAACCTGGCTGTGTTTTCTGGCCAGGCTCTGTAAATATCAGGACTGGCAAGAAAGTTCTAACTTGTAAATTTTTTTGGCAGGTAAAATAACTCTGATATATATATATATAATTATTGTATTATGTATTAATAGGTAACTTACTCAACAATACTATAATACAAAAAGTTCCCACTAAGACAGATGGAGAAAGAATATTTTTTTCACTAGTCTTAGAAATTGCACAATAATATTCCTTTCCCTGAGCATGCATTTTTTTATGGCAAAGTTCACCCAAGCAGTTTTTGGTGTCACACTACCCTTCTTTTCTTTGGGCAGAACAAAAAAAAAGAGAAATGGATTAGTGCTAACTGAAATATATGAAAGTTGCTCACATTAATGCAGTGATCCTGCTAAAGTGAATTCCATCAGGGATCCTATTAGAATATAGTTTATATTTTCTCCACTTTGGTTTCCTTTGAGTGCTCCAGTTTCCTGCCACAGTTTAATATTAGACTGGCAAACATGTTGGGCTGGACAGCATTCTTTGTTTGCAGGACCATGAATATGCCCTGTGTTAGCATGGGCTTTCTCCAGGTGCTTCTGTGTCCTTCTACACCCATGGTTTCCAACTTCAATCTTCGAGTACCGCCAACAGGCCATGTGCCCTAAGATAAAATAGCTGTCATAAAGCTCAAGCCAATGACATTGCGTTAAAGCACCTGTTCAAGGTGAAGGAAATCATGAAAATATGACATGTCGGGGGTACTTGATGACTGAGGCTGGAAACAAACATCCTACATTCGAAAGTTCTTGTACAGAGGGTACTGATAGACAGACCTTGGTGCAGGTCACCTCCAAAATCAGAGACATTATTGAGTCAAAAAGGCCATACAGATGTCCACACTTGAAAGTGATGCCTTCATGCTGTGCCAGATGTTATATGCAAAGTTGGAGCATTGCCTGGCCATTGAGTTTCACTGCAAAAGACCAAATTGTACAGATAGGTTAACTGGCATTCTAGTGTTTAGTGTTTTTCCCTGTCAAATGTTGACAGAGCTACAAATTGATGTAATAGTGCACTGGTGACATCACAGAATTAGAAAAGATGGAGTAAAGACGGAATGAAGAAGGCTTCCTGTTGCCTGCAATGCAAAAAAACCCCAAAAAACACAGATACCACAAAAATTAAAACCAACTAAAGAGGAAGTCCATCCAAGGTTTTTTTTTTTTTTTTTTTTTTAAAGGAATAGCGAAGGGAAAAAAACACAAAGTGATAAATGGGCACCAACATACTGCTTGTGTGTACATCTCCATAGATTCTTATTCAGCCAACTCCTCACTTTTTTGGTATAAATTATATATTGCATAACTAAGATAAACTATACATTATATTAGGTCTTGAATTTTTTCAACTTGGCTAAAAATCTGGGTCAGAATTTACAAAATTATGACCATTTCATATGTAGTAAAAATATTTAATGGCAAAATCCTTTCAAACCTTAATAATGCTATGTATACTAAGACTAATATCTTAGCCCTGGTGTCTTCCTCTTTGAAAAGAAATATTACACATGCTGTATGCATGCAAGACACATTTTGTCATATAGGCATTTGCCTAGTGCAAACTGTGCCAAGGCTTATCTGTTTACACCTACAAATTTTATCAAAATGTATTGTATATAGACTATAAGGCCAAATGTTTTTGGACACCTGACCATAACACCTACCTATATGGCCACAGGTATGTGTAAACTCCTCTAAATAAGTTCAGGTCTTTTCCAAAAAGGTACTGTTATACTGTTACTGCAACAGCATACAAAGACATTTTATACTCCACGCTTCCAACCTTGTGGTAACATCTTAGGGAAAGCCTTTTCCATTCCAGCATGACTGTGCCCCTGTGCACAAAGCCAGCTTCATAAAGACATGGAGCTAGTGTAGAGGAACTTGATTGATATATACACAAACCTATGACCTTAACCCTACTGAAAATCTTTGGGATGAATTGGAACACGATTTCCGAGCCACATCTTGAGGGGTTGGGCAACTCCATATTCATGCTTTTAATTTTCAAAGATGTCTAACAAGCTCATGTATTTGATATGGTAAGGGGTCCAAAACATTTAAGCTATATAGTGTATGTCCAGTTCTTAGCATTCATACTGTGTAGATCAATTGACGCAAGGGCTGCAGAAGACACCTCACAAATCATCATTTCCATTATTTAGACTTAGACTCTCAAACAAAGATGTTCAATTTTTAGGTCCTAGACTATTGTGACATTTCTGGTATCTCAAATGTCATATTTCTAGTGTCTTGAACTCCAATAATGTGGGGGTGTCAAATAGTACACTCTGGGCCCCCTAAAATTTATGGATGGTGGATATCTTCTGATGCCTAACCCATAGGCTGTTTATCTTTGCTCTGGGATTCCTTTAATTGCTTGGAGCCTACCACTGCCCCACCTAAAATGTATTCTGACTAGATGGTTTAGACATCTACCAGTAGATGTATGAATCCTAGTTTGTGGACAAAGTGAATAATGATATAGGTACACCATATTGTTCACTATGACATAAGCTGTGTGCTTAACCAACACACAAGGAGGCAATTATAAATGAGTAATTCTTGAAAATACCCCCTAATCGTGAAACAGGAAAACTATGGCTTATGTGATTTAATTGCCTACCTTTTCTCAGAATCTTAGCAAATATGGAAATTGATTAACAAATCTTCAGCAAACCAATACATATTTGACCAACAGAATGCAACCTTTTACAGGTAAGATTACTTAATAGGCAACCATGATGACAAACAAAGCGGCTGCCTCACTGTATTGGTGACAGGTACCTTTTGATAAAATATAAAATAAAACAGATATATATTTATTTCTACCAACCACTGAAAATTCATTGTTGGGTGGAATTTCAAACTTTAAAAGAGATGGTTTTCCAACTGTCCCAAGATGTAATTTTTCTTGTGGATTTCCTCTCTAGAACGAAGGATGAGCTTCTATCAAATTGAACTAAGTAGCTTGATTTTTATGTGCTCTTTGGAGGAAATCCAGAAAACATGCTTTGTTGCTGGGACCTGAGGATATGTGTCAGAACACTTGTTTTAAAGTAAGCATGTCATAGGAGAAATACGAGGGCTGCATTGTTGTTCTCCTTCTGGAAACGTTAGTTGCCTGGCTGCTAAGGTGATCCTGCATACTACATACTTGCCTTGGGCAGGTGACTCACAGTATTAAAGACTAATTCCACAATTTTCAAAAAATGTTTTTAAAAAAATCACCCATATTGATGGACCTTCAGTTATAGGGCTGGAGGAAGTATCAATGGGATACATGTATGGTGACATCACAGCACTTGTGCTCCATTGATAACTTCAAGTTCCTCTGCCGCAGCAGCAGATAGGACTTGTAGTTTTTCTCATTCACAGATTCTTATGAATGAATAATGCGGTTGGAACCATGCACAGCCATACAGAATTTTAAAAAAAAGACATTTGCCTGCAGGAAGAAGAGCTTCTTCGGAGTTGTTGGGGGGTTATGAGAGTTGAGGGGGCTGTGGACTGTGACCATGTTTAATGCTACACCCTAAATATGGCTGTAACATGAAACATTATCAAAAAGGTGGACCTAAATACAAAAGCAAGGGGGTCAGACTGACAGCCAGGAAACCAACATTTTCAGAAGTCAGCAATTGCATCCTTCATGTTTATGTCATAATAGAGGTCTTTTAAAACATACTGGTGTTTAGTGCTGATCAAACCAGGAGAATCCAGTCTTTTGAGACTAATTTTTATATAGTCAAGCAAATCAAAACATCTGCAATTCACCTGGTTTGCAAATCGATTTGCTCATCACTACTGGTGTGCTACTACACCTCAGAGGTTCTAAAGCCAAGGTCTGTCAGCAGGAAACAATCCTACTTAGTCCTCTTTGATGCCACCACTAAAACCTACTTTCTAATTCAGGTAAAATACTGTAGTCAAGATAATTCCCTTCCATGAATTTCCGCTCAATAATTGCCATTCAATTCCAAAGAAGAGTTCAGAAATCTCAACTTGCCAGAACAAAGTAGTAGCAGTGGCGCAGATGACAGTGTGGGGAGCTATACAACTAACAAAACTTGCTGCTTGATCCACTGAGGTATAATTTTGTTCTTTCAAATTTTCAGTATCAGGTGCAGTTACCCTTTAAATAACCTCATTTTAATATACTGTATAAATAGATGTTTTTGGTTTTTTTGGATCAATGCTTTGTTACACAGAACTTCTCCGCTTCATGAGTCCCCTAAAGGCAGAGAGACTGTGCAGTCCCGTTGATACTGAGCTAATGGCTGAATGCTGGGTATTGCAAATGCATCCATTGGACGGCGTGCCCATGTATCTACCAGGTGAGTGGTGGTTTTGCTCCATGCAGTTGTCTGATGTAGACAAATCCCGAGGTATGATCATGGGAATAGAGTACTGTAGTTTTTCCCTACTCTTATACCACAAACAAGAACACATGGACTGGAAGTGAAGAACCTCAGCGTAGACATTTCGAAAACCACCACTGGAGGAACTAGTGTCATTGGTGTGTATGCTGGAGTGTCCATTTCGGTTCAGCAGAGCTCGATGTTCGGCATCCCTTTTCTCATCCTCTGCATTCATGGTCATGAACCGTAGGACCACCAAATTGAGGAATGCTCCTATGACTGTAAGTCCCGTTAATATGTACACAAAGCTAAAGGCAACATACTGTGGCTTGTTTTGTAGGGCTGCATCCTTCTGGAGCGCCACATAGTCTCCAAACCCAATGGTAGTAAGGGTTATAAAGCAGTAATAGTAGGCATGAAAAAAGCTCCATTGCTCATAGTGTGAAAACGCAGCTGCACCAATGCACAATGTGCTTATACAGGAAAAAAATCCAATAATGACCATGTTGGCCATTGAAACCTCAGCTCGTCTCATTCCAAGGCACTTCTTGATGCGGTAGAGGAGATACCTTACAAAGGTGTTAATCCTTTCACCCAGGCTCTGAAACATGACCAAAGTGAGCGGAATCCCCAGGAGAGCATAGAACATGCAAAAGACCTTGCCTCCATCTGTGCTGGGAGCAGCATGTCCATATCCTAAAAGAAAACACAGAAAGGGTATCAGAACCTAAAGGTAGCAGTCCACAAGATGACCTAAAACCACACATCCATAAATTGGTCACACAAACTAAACATTTTCACTCAGTTTCTTAGATTATTCAGCTAAAGGATGTCGGTAAGGAGGGCCACCCATGAAGTGGATTATGGTTGGTTCTTCAGGAACAAACCAAAATATAGTATGAACGGTGTATGGCCAGCTTTAGGACACTATGGAAAGGCAGATATTTCATAGATGGAAGATGAAGATTTGCCTGCTTTTATTTTTTATCTCCAACTCAAACTGACCCTGTACTACCCCAAATATTCTTCCCAGCTTGGCTGATATTAGCATGAAGAAAGGAAATCAGTAAATCATTACAAATATTTTCAAAATATTGGAAATCTACACTCACTGGCCACTTTATTAGGTACACCTGCTCAATTGCTTGGTAACACAAATTGCTAATCAGCCAATCACATGGCAGCAACTCAATGCATTTAGGCATGTAGACGCGGTGAAGACGACTTGCTAAAGTATAAACCGAGCACAGAAAGTGACTTTGAATGTGGTATGGTTGTTGGTGCCAGATGGTCTGGTCAGGATATCTCAAAAAACGGCTGACCATCTGGGATTTTCACATGCAACCATCTCTAGGGTTTACAGAGAATGGTCCAAAAAAGAGAAAATGTCCAGTGAGTGACAGTTTTGTGGATGAAAATGCCTTGTTGATGTCAGAGGAGAATGGGTAAACTGCTTCCTGTGACAATCAGGTGGTAGGGTCAGAATTTGGTATAAACAACATGAAAGCATGGATCCATCCTGCCTTGTATCAATGGTTCATGCTGGTGGTGTAATGGTGTGGGGGATATTTACTTGGCACTAGCAAGGTGTACCTAATAAAGTGGCTGGTGAGCATATGTGACAATGGATACTGCCAATGCAGGTTAGCTCCTAATCTATGAGTAATAAAGTGTATTTAAAACCATCTTTTTTGGGCTTTGGATGGAGTACGGAAGGGTTAGAACCATTGTCTGCGTTGTTGCTGTCTGTGTTACAGCAGAGGAGATTCATCCTCTCTATTTATCCTGGTGACAGAAAGTGAGAGAAAATCTAAAATTTTGAATTGTCACCAAGACAGTAACACAGAAATCTTTTAGTTGGAAACTTTGTTCTATCTCTCAATCTATCTATATATCTGACTATCTCTCGGGGATTCTATCAGTAAACTGTGCCAAGTTCAGGGATCTGGACTGGGAACATTTGTCATGGGGGAAATTGCACCCAATCGGCCCTTTCATGGTAACCAATTTTAGTGGGCTAAAGGAAGTTTACCACAGAAATTGAACCATGCCTTGGAAATAGGAATAAGTCTCTCTTGCAAAGTCAGAGGCATCAATAAAATGTTGGCAGAGGTTCTAACCCTATACCACTTTGTCTGAAAAATTGACTGGAGTGGTACTGGGAGAAACCCAGGTTCTGACATTTGTGAATGCCTTTTTCATTTTTTTATGCTTGGCTGTTTCTGCCTTGGATGTTTTCTGAATCCCTGGTCTGAAGCACGCATGTAGATCAGTTTCTGATCAGTGATTCTGAAACACTGAAGCCACTGGTACAGCATAACTGCCGGGGAACTGATATTTTCAGGTATATATGTATATTATAGCAAAATTGCAGCCACAGAAAGGAAAATGGCCCCATCTCTGCACATGTGCGGTAGTGCAACACTGATGCACAGGTATATACAGTCACGGCAGACATGGTGATGTCACTAGGTTTCTTTCCTGCCGCTGATGATGGAAGATCTGCCCTACGTGTCTAAAAATACTTCTATAGAACATTGTACAATTCCAACAATTTATTTCTACAAGATATGCAGCTTTTACTTCTCTTTTCTTCTGCTGAGCTAACATACATGTCCTCTCTTTTGTATGTATTTTTACTCCTTTATTGATTACATTCTTCTCTTCAAAAGCTGTGATCATTGAAAACACTGCTCAGATAGGAACAATAAGAGGTAAAGGAAAGGGGGGCCACATAGACACTGCGTATATTGTGTGCCAGAGAATCAATGTAATTACAGTCATTCTTCTCTTCCAGACATTCCATATATATTAGTTTCTCCAGAAGGCAAACATGAAATAAAAGTAAGAAAGCTAAAAAAAATTAATCATTTAAAGTAAATTTATAGCCAAAAGGTTTTCTTTAAGTATGGAATGGTTAAAACCCCTGTCAGGATGTTTGTAGCTGCTGATGTCCAGTTGAGGAGATTTCACTGCTTTACGTCTTGGTCCAGAAAGGCAACCGGAAGTAAGAGATGCCAAGTGAGTGGAAATCACATCTTAGACAGGTGTCACTGGAACAAGTGTCCCAATTGGTTAACACCCATCTCTCCTACAGACAACAAAAACATTTTGGATTTCCCATAATTTTCTGTCTCGGTGACAGTGGTCACCATGCGAAATAGAGATGTAATAAAAACCAGACAAAGGGTATAATCCTTTTCTACTTTATCCAAACCTAAAAAAAAAAAAAAAAAAACTTGGCTTTACATACACTATGGGGGTTATTTACTAAAACCGGAAAGTGCAAAATTTGGTGCGACTCTGCATGGAAACCAATCAGCGTCCATGTTTTCTTGCCAAAGCATAATTGAAAAAGCTGAAGTTAGAAGCTGATTGCCTAACGCCAGATTCTGAGTGCAGTTTTAGTAAATCTACCCCTTTGTGTATATAATTCCTTAGTAATTGTGCTTTCTCATTCTCCTCTTTCTTTTCTCTCTTACTTTATTTATTTTTCCTCTCCCACTGTATCTCTTCTCACCCTCCCTCCTTTTTGTTTCCTCTCCTTTTCTTTTTCTTCTTCTCTTCTCTTCTCACCCGCCCTCCTTTATGTTTCCTCTCTTTTTCATTTTTCCTCTTCTCACCCGCCCTCCTTTACGTTTTCTCTCTTTTTCTTTTTCTTTTTTCTCTTCTCTTCTCTTCTCACCTGCCCTCTTTTACATTTCCTCTTTTTTTCATTTTTCCTCTTCTCTGCTCTTCTCTTCTCACCCGCCCTACTTTATGCTTCCTCTCTTTTTCATTTTTCCTCTATTCTTCTCTTCTCACCCCGCCCTCCTTTACGTTTCCTCTCTTTTTAATTTTTCCTCTTCTCTTCTCACCCATCCTCCTTTACGTTTTCTCTCTTTTTTCTCTTCTCTTCTCACCCGCCCTCCTTTATGTTTCCTCTCTTTTTCATTTTTCCTCTTCTCACCCGCCCTCCTTTACGTTTTCTCTCTTTTTCTTTTTTCTCTTCTCTTCTCACCCGCCCTCCTTTATTTCCTCTCTTTTTCATTTTTCCTCTTCTCATCCGCCCTCCTTTACGTTTCCTCTCTTTTTCATTTTTCCTCTTCTCTTCTCACCTGCCCTGCTTTACATTCCTCTCTTTTTCATTTTTCCTCTTCTCTGCTCTTCTCACCTGCCCTCCTTTACATTTCTTCTCTTTTTCATTTTTCCTCTTCTCTTCTCTTCTCACCTGCCCTGCTTTACAATTCCTCTCTTTTTCATTTTTCCTCTTCTCTTCTCTTCTCACCCCCACCCTCCTTTACGTTTCCTCTCTTTTTCATTTTTCCTCTTCTCTGCTCTTCTCACCCGCCCTCCTTTACATTTCCTCTCTTTTTCATTTTTCCTCTACTCTTCTCTTCTCACCTGCCCTCCTTTACATTTCCTCTCTTTCATTTTTCCTCTTCTCTTCTCACCCGCCCTCTTTTATGTTTCCTCTCTTTTTCATTTTTCCTCTTCTCACCCGCCCTCCTTTACGTTTCCTCTCTTTTTCATTTTTCCTCTTCTCACCCGCCCTCCTTTACTTTTCCTCTTTTTTTCATTTTTCCTCTTCTCACCTGCCCTCCTTTACGTTTCCTCTCTTTTTCATTTTTCCTCTTCTCTTCTCACTCGCCCCTCCTTTACGTTTCCTCTCTTTTTCATTTTTTCTCTTCTCTTCTCTTTTCACCCGCCCTCCTTTACGTTTCCTCTCTTTTTCACTTATCTCTTCTCTTCTCACCCGCCCTCCCTCTCTTATTTAATTTTTCGTTTCTTTCTCTTCCGCCCTCCTTTACGTTTTTCTCTCTTTTTCTTTTTTCTTCTTCTCTTCTCACCCGCCCTCCTTTATGTTTCCTCTCTTTTTCATTTTTCCTCTTCTCACCCGCCCTCCTTTATGTTTCCTCTCCTTTTCTTTTTCCTCTTCTCTTCCCTTCCCTTCATATATCTTTCTCTTTTCTTCACTTTCCCTCTCTATCTCTTCTTTCACACCTGTACTATCTTTTCTCTTTATATTTCCTCTCATCTCATTCTGCCTCCCTGCATCTCCCCCTCCCCTTCTCTTCTCTCCACTATATATCTTCTCTTTTCTCCTATCCTCTCTGGTTTATTTCCTTCTCCCCAGCTTTTCTTCTTTCCTATTTCTAAGAACGACTAACATTTTTTTTTTCCACCTGAAAAGCTGGCTATCCTCCCGTCTTCTTTCACATACACAGAGAAGTTCATTAGAGCTGACCTTTTAAATTTATAGAGTGCTCTGGAGAAACTTTAAAGGATGGAGTATGTACAGACGAAGTTTCTGGGCAGGCTTACAACACCTGTTAGCATTTAACCAACAACTGAAGAAACCAATTCCAACCAAAACTTTTTTTTTTTTTTAGCTTCAGAGTAAGTGAAGGTTTAGCTCCTCTGTCTGGTTTTATTGATGTTTATGCAACAAAAGTGATATAAATTGCTGGTAGAGTATAGATTGGTCAGAAGGGGTTCAGATTTCAAGGAGTTTGCTACATGTGTGTAAAGTCATATAGCAGTGTCTAAAGGTTTCACTGAGAATTCTATTGCTGTCTTCTTGCCCAATTTAGGGCCATCGTTAGAAATGATTTGGACCCAAAAAGCCTACCTGACAGGGCCCCAGCATTCCAATATCCCCTATCAGCC